TATAAGCTTGTAAATGTATAAATAAATCACAATATATATATATATATATATGTATATTTAATATTTAACTTCTAATATATGTATTATATGCATATTATGTTTATATATAAACATAGAGATGAATTTATAACTAAATTAATGTTTATATAAATATGTTATTACATACAGTGTACAAACAAATAAATAAATATATATATATATATATATATATTATATATAATCTTTCTTTTTTTTGCTGCAGAGTGTATTAAACAAACGAATAAATAAATTATATAAATAAACAAATAAATAAATAAAAGTTTTATTTGTTTTGTTTGCTGCAGAGTTTATGAATTTATGCGGCGACTGCGGAAGCGCCATAGAGAAAGGATTTGTTTTAATAATAGATTTCAAATTGTTATGTCTTCAACAACTTAGTTTAATTGATAGAAAAGGAAGCGTAAGACGTTAATTAATTAATTAATTAATTAATTAATTAATTAGTTAATTAATTAATTAATTAATTAGTTTATTTATTTATTTGATAGTTTTTTAGATTTGTTTTGTTTGCTCTGTCTTTAATTATATTTATTTCATTCGTTTTCTCTCTCTTTACTCTTTTTTGTTTCTATTTATATTTTTTATTTATCTTCTTCTTTCTTATTCTTCTTATTTGCTTCTTTGTTGATTTGTATTGATATTCTTTGTTATATACTTATTCATATGTTTATTATTTATTTATATTCGTTTTCTTTGTTTATTATGTATGTTATGTTATTTCTTACTCACTCTCTATCCTCTATTTATTTACTTTCTTATTTATTTTTATTTTATTATTTTAATTAACTCAATAAATAAATTATATAAATATCCGATTATATGCATATAATACATCTATAAATTTGATGTATGGTTTTCTTGTTTATTTATTTCTTTATGAATATTTATTTATTTATTTATTTATTTATTTATTTATTGTTAATTATATATATTATTTATATTTTTCTTTTTTATTTCTTTTGTCGTATTTTCTGTTTGCTTCTTTTTTTCATGCTTTTTTTTCTTTTGATATTTGTTTTTAATCTTTTAAGAAGTGCATTTCTCTCTTTCTTTGTCTGCTTCTCTCCTATTAACTCATATAGGCTTTATTGCTGCTGTTTGCTGCTGTTGTTTGCTGCTGTTGTTTGCTGCTGCCGTTTGCTGCTGCTGTTTGCTGCTATTAATTACTGCTGTATGCTGTTGATGCTTTCTTGGTGCTTCCTGCTGCTTCTGCTGCCTCTGCTGCCGCTGCTGCTGCTGCTGCTGCTGCTGCTGCTGCTGCTGTTTGACTGCAGATATTGATGGGCAGTGATAGCGAAGAGGCTGCAGTGCATACTCTGCGCTTAGAACTCAACGCCAAATTCGACGCACACAACTCGTCAGCTTCATATTAACAGCTAGCCAGCTAGCTAACACGTAGTTACAGCTAGCTGGCTAGCTAGCTAGCTAACTAATAATGCAGCTAGCTATGATTTAATGACAGCTAATAAACAAATATGTTTAATATATATGTATATATTTATTTATTTATTTAAGTAATTATTTATCTACATTAATTCATTTATATATCTATTGATATATATTAATTTATATATTTTTTATTATATTTATTTATCTATTGATATATTTATTTGTATATTCGTTGATTTATTATTATTATTTATTTATTTATTTATTTATTTATTTGTGTGTCTCTGCAGCAATTTGATATTTCCGGCGTTCGACTCCAGCGGATTTAATTTGACAGATTGGAACTATGCAATTGGAGCGCAGTATCCGATATCATTGAAAGAAATATTAAATGTTGTTGTTTGTACGTTATTATTATTTATTATTTATTATTTATTTATTAATTATTAATTACTATTTATTTATTTATTTATTTATTTATCTATCTATCTATCTATGTATCTATCTATGGAACTATGCAATTGGAGCGCAGTATCCGATATCATTGAAAGAAATATTAAATGTTGTTGTTTGTACGTTATTAATTATTATTTATTATTATTTATTTATTATCTATTTATTATTATTTATTTATTTATTTATTTATCTATCTATCTATGTATCTATCTATGGAACTATGCAATTGGAGCGCAGTATCCGATATCATT